CTCAATCATTATCCCCTTGGCGTGTGAGGGCAGTGCCTCTAGCTGAGAAAAACTAGAACATGACAATATCATGACCAGGTGGTAAGGTAAATGCAAGCGGAGGCATGGGCAATGCGGTCCAAAATAGTTGCACCCTGAACCCTGAACCCTAGACCCGTGCAGCCCAAGCTGAGGCAAGCGCAAGAATGAGCGCTTCCATGAAGTGTGGCCTTTTCTCAGGCTGGATCAAAGGTGCAAAGCATGGCGCGCATTAGCAGTATGCACTATCTATATGCCCTGACGGGCTCCTGTAATCGACTCTTCCAAAAAAATATTTTGAGAGAACCCAGGTGTTCTTAGAGGGTCTGTCCTCTTGGGGGCCCCCGGCCGCTGGGTCTACTTAACTACCGGTCCTGCCATGGGATTCCGCGTACCCAACATTCCCAAAGGGTTCAGGTACCTGTACGGTATATATTATCGGCCCAAAGGACTCTGAGTGTGTTTGAGGGTAGAGTTTGGGGGTCTAGGCCCTTAGGGCCCAGGCGGGTTTAAGGCTTGAAGGATTCAAATACATACAAATCACAGGGTTGGGGAATCTTGGTTCACCTGGACACTGGTCCAATGAACGTATGTAGTTTTTCTTTGGAGCTCGCTACGGCTTTGCCGCAGCTTAAGTTCAAACCCTGAACTGGGAATAAGGGCTTATGAAACTCATGATTTTCCCGTTTTTGCTTACTCTGGGCGCATCTGACTGAGCTGGCAAATTGTAGCATCCAGTCGAGCTCGACTTCCATACAAGCCAAGGGCCATATCATACGAACTGGGCCGGGGAAGAAATGGACACATCAAAAAACATGGCGAATGGGCCCTGAAGGGTTCGGTTGAGGGTATTGGGGAATGCTATCATATGGATACATCCATTTTGGAGGGACCACACTGATATGATCAACGTAGACCTTTCCAGGAACGGTTTTGGCCCGACTCCACATGTAGGTACGACGCGATTTCACTGGATAAGCTGGAGAGGCCGTTTACACACCCATCTTTCATCAGATACAGTGCTACACTCAGCGGTTTATGGTGGTGCTGCTTGTCTTATACTTGCTAGTGTTGGCCTTCTTCTACATTACCGTCGTGCCATTAATGTGGAGCTGAATATACACCAACTATCTTTTTCAGGTCTGACCATGCGAGGCACCCTATACCATACAAGGAATTTGTGCGTTTCTTGTCGCAGCCGCACAAGTGACCTTTCAACCCCTCCATCGCACCCGTCATCTGAAGAGAAACCCTAGCATGACCCAAGGCTTCAAGAACTTGGCTAATGAGAGCGCACGAGGCCTGGAGCCGGAAGGAGCAGAGCGCTTGGAGACAGGTTGAAGGCCTGTGCGTTGGACGTCAGGGTCGGGTGAAGGGGTCGGTTCAGGTTTAGGGTTTAAGGTTTATGGGTTAGCGCTTAGCAGACAGGGTTTATGGGCTAGCGATGAGTTCATCTGGGGCAGGGTATTAATTAGTAGGGGAGGGCGCTACCTCACACTCTCCCGAATAGTTTCCTTGGCAAAGCCAACAACCTGACCCCGAGGCGTCCATGGAAAAAAAGCTCTCCTGCGGCAACCCCAAACTCCCGCATGGTCTCGCTGGGCGTGGGGCGCTTTTTGCATCGAGATGTGTCAGCAAAGGATGCCACAAACATGTATCATCTCATGCTTGGCCCGCTATACTCCATTCGCTTACCTATGCAGCTTACGAAACACCAAAGCCATCTATCACAGAAATGAACGACTATGGGATACTACTTGGTTGAAACTTGGGCTTCCCCTACATACCCTAAACCCTAAAACGCTAAACCCCTAGTCCCTAAAACCCCGAACCCCTAAAACCCCAAAAGCCCTACAAACCCGGAACCCCTAACAGCCTAAACCCTAAACCCATACCCCCCAAACCCCTAAACCCCTGAACCCCTAAAACCATGAACCCCTAAACCCCTGAACCCCTAAAAAACCCTAAGCCATTAAAACCCTAAACCCCTAAGACCCCTAAACCCTAAACCCCTAAACCCCTAAACCCATAAACCCTAAACCCCCAAACCCTAAAACCCGAAGCCCCTAGGGGATTCATGGCCAGGGGCTTGCAGTGCGGCGCTGAGGTTGGCAGAGAAGACTTGGCCTGATCCCAGGGTTCTCAAAGACTTACTAGGGCTTTAGGTTTAGGGTTTCGGGTTTAGGGTTCAGGGTTAGGGTTTAGGGAATAGAGGAATATCTAAAGGAATATATAAATACATGGGGTTTAGGGTTAGCAGAGAATAAGGGAATATACGCATATGGTTTAGGGTTTGGGGCTTAGAGTAGGGAATAAGAGAATACGTTGCACAGGGATTATAGTCCTTATCCCCTACTAAAAATGAGTAAGTGTAATGTTTAACTGCAGTGGTGTCTTTACAGGTACGATGGGGGTTCCCTTGAGGAGGTGGTAAGGAAATGTGGGAGTTAGGATTCCGGGCTTAGGGCTTGTGATTTATGGATTTGTAAAAAAATGCCGCCAGTGCCCTTAAAGAGTCAATACTCATCTGGGAGTACTTTGGGAAACTAAGCTGGTCTATGGGGCGCATCCTCAGGCGCCCCTGATTTCATTCTGTGTTGAACGGAATCCACAAAACAGACCAAATCCTACCTCACTGAACTTCAACAAGTGCTGCTGCCCTTTAGACTTAATCCTTCATCCCAATACTCTGACCTTCAACTCCTAAAAAGCTAATGTCTCTGTGTGCCCTCCATAGCCCTAAACCCTAAACCCTGAACCCTAAACCCTGAACCCTAAACCCTGAACCGGGGCTCCGGCCCTCCTCTCCCCAGCCTAACGGTGCCCTCAGCTGATCGCGAAGGTCAGCAGAAGCAGCTCGATCCACC